TTTGTGCTACGCGGAGAGGGCATTTCTCATGCGGTAGAGGCATCACAAATTCCTCTAAAAATCTGTGATGCTAGGGCATGCATCACAGACATCCTGGGTCATTCAACATACGCATGACAAACCTGGCAATCTTCCAGACCCAGACATTTTTGCAGTTGATACCCCTTGATGAAAGGCAATGACACGGAAAACAGCGAGAGCAAAAACGCCGGTGGGTAGTAGGCCGGTCCCTGCTGCCACAAAAATTTCACCAACTCCACCGTGGACCGTGTCATCTCGGTTTCCGTGGAAAACAACCCGGTGTGCACGTGGCAGGTCGGCCAGAAGAGCCCCGGGTAGATAAAACAATACGCGGCGGCGAGAATGGAGAACCCGATGTAATTCTGCCGCCGTCGGGCGCGCGGAGACAGGGGTGAGTTGTACCGCGAGGCCGGGGGCCCGGCTGCGCGAGAAGTTGTACCTGTGCGACCGACATGCTCGTCAAAGGCTTTCTGATCTAGAATCACGTCCGGCTGTCGCCGGGATTGCGCCGCGTTGCTAGTCGCGCCTGCAGTGGTCGCCATGCGGTTGTATTTTACCGTGTATTGGCTCGTGCTGATAGAAGCGCCGGCTGAATTGGGAAGGTACTTTTGATGTCCCTGCGAATGGATTGTATCTTCTTGGATTTCGACCTCTTCCCCCTCGTCCTCTGGAAACTCCTGATAAAAGTCGTCGTCGTCTTGCGGGCTCGTGCGCAACAGCTGCCGACCACCAACTACGAGGCGGCTGGAAGGGTCCCTACTTGAGTGGTGAGCTGGTGGTGGTGGGTTCAGACCCTGGTTTTGTATTTGTTCCCGGCTTCCAGCACTAGTATGCGCCAGCTCCTGCTGGCCAATGTGTTCTACCAAGGGTATGCGCTGCGCGTCTTGCCCACGCCCCAAAACCGTGTCCCACCACGAAATCTTGAAGGCCGCAAGGGAGCGTGCTGATGAAAGAGGAGCAACGACACGACTTACTAAGGCAATTATTGTACTTCGACGGGGCGGTAAGTAGTTGTGCGGCTGCACGCACCGCCGCACGCTACACACACACAGACAAGGAGAAGATTGCATTCAAAGAGCGAACAAAAATTTTGCAACGATCGTATTTATAAAACGAAGCTGCCACCACGAATGTAACAAGGCCTAAAACGACAAAATCTCTCAGCACTGGCAAATTTTGATCACCATTTTTTCATCCCCAAAGCCAAAACCGAACGCAGAGAGCGGGGACATCCAAGTAGATCAGGGCTGCGTTGTAACGCTGGAATGATTTTTCCGGTGCGCGGTATGGTAAAATTGGTTTACTTGTCGCATGTTTCTCTTCTTTGTGTTTTGTCGCTTTTTTTCGTTGATTTTTTGTCGTTGTGTCGAAGATTCGTACGTTTATTTTCCGTCAGAGATGGGGGGACATTGAAGTATTGCCTGTGCTGCCAGCTGCTGATTAGTCAACTAGTACACAAGAGCGGGTCGAAATGTTGTAGCGAAGTACTCATTTTGGGGTTCTTGTCGGGTAGGCAGGCAATCTTGATAGGATGATCTGATTGGTCGCTGTTGATACGAGTAGAAGAGCGACCCCTCGTGACCACAGAAAAAAAAGTTCGCTTTGTTCGCATGATACATGTCGACGCCCTCCTGTGGTAATGTACTATAACGACGTCATGCATTTCTGAACAAGAAGTTCTTCCATTTCATTAGCACCAGACGATTTCTCAATCTATCCTCCATGATCGCGGATCGTCTTCACATCAGGCTGCATCCCTGTTCGGGGTTTTCCATCAGCACCGGAATACTCATCAACAGTTGCTGCTGCTGCATGGTGCTCTGCATGAAGCGCTCACTCTGCCCGAGCTGCGCCGCGTGGATGAAACCCGCCAGTGCCATTTCGTCCGCCGACACCTGGAACTTCTTGTCCACGGAAGTGGACGCCATTCCCTGCATATCAAATGCAAAAGTGTCTGGGTCTGGAAGAATACAAACTTGTGATGCGCATTTCAGAACACAGAAAAGTCTCTCATGCATAGGCAGCAAAAGTTGCCCACTTTCTGTCACCAAAATCAGGGATTTGTCATGCGGCTTCGGCATTGCGAACGCTTCTCGAAACCTGTGATGCTAGAGCTTCCATGCCAGACCTTCTGTGTCATGCAGAAACAGCATGACTGTTCCAGACCCAGACATTTTTGCATTTGATA